GAATAGGCCCGTGGGGCTCGTCGAAGACCGTGACGATCTGACCGTCTAGGACACTTCACACGAATAACTACTTTCGCAGTACTAGAGGCTCCAGTGTGAACTACAAGATGCGTGTCACTACTGATAAACCAAACATCCTCGTAATGGCAATGTACGCACGTATGTGAGAGCGTTCAGAAAGGCTCTTGAGAGATTCAACTAACATCTCGTTGTACAAAAGTCATGCTTTATCGCAGAGGCCCAGCTGGCCTCAACGTGTCGACCATGAGGGGCCGTTCTTGTGCTCCCGACATCGGTGATCGTGCATCGTGATGCTCTGTATCCATAGACATACACACGATGCCAATACATGCTACGGCAAGGGCTAGCATGAAACACGCCACGTTCTTCGGTACCTAGGACAGACCAGCGTATCAGAGTAATATCCAAAGTGCGTTGAGACGGAGGTGTGGTATGAGCTCAATTCTATGCACTCACACGGAGGGAGGCCGACAAAGAGCGGTAGCGAGAATATGACCCCAACCTACTTCTAAGAAGCATGCAGCGCCGAAAGAGACCATGAATAGCATAAGTAGGATTTGGTAGGGAGGTATACACACAACTGCATCGAACTGTCTCATCATCCACGACATGAATGTCAATTGCATTAGTGATGATATTATCACCACGCTGAAGCATAAATATGGCTGGTACGCTGAAATCCAATGTCACAGTAAGAAACATACAAAACGAGGATAGCCTACCCGCCAGACCTTCCACTGCGATGTACTGCGCACCGAACTTCCCAGCAAGAGCTGTGACTGCCGATTGATATCCACCAAGGAAGGCCAGGGCAAGGAGGGCCACGGCACGACGGAGTCGACGCTTATGGACCTTATAATGGATTCAATTACATTGAATCCAAACAGGTAGTGGATGCATCACCTGGGAGTGGCTGACAGGAATATGATCATCGATAGCGACATGCGTCTTCATAGACCATTTCGATACTGTGAAAGCCAACAGATAAAAAGGAAACGTCGCCGCTAAACAGAAGAACACTACTCGAATCGATATGCTCTCGGATTTCAAATCCAGAGGCCCTGAGATCGATCCCGGTACCTTACCAACAAAAGTGATGAACCTTGCACTTGAGAGCAGCCCTGCTATGCTTTGATCAGAACCTTGGTCGTCGGAGGACCCAAAGGCCATAGCTGATACCGCACCCACTACTATCAATATAGAACCGATAGTCTAAGATGGACACAGTAGGACGACGTATCGATGCCACCAAAATGCGCAATAAACCTTGTCAAATTTAACGCCTACTGCAGTTCATCGCATAATGACTGTCAGAGCTGATAATAATATTTCCTGAACTGCTCACTGCAAAATCAACGGCAATAAAAGTCCCTGTATGATGATACACTCCCGTTATGCGCATTATTACTTGTGCTCTAGATAGACCCTCCCCGAGCATAACACGAGCTACTGCTGCATTGGCTGGCACAGTCAGGCCCGAGGAACATGCTCTAATGGACATCGAGATATAAACCAAAGACCAGAAGTCGAACACTGCTGACAGTATGTAGAATATTACAGC